CCGGCAAGGAAAATTGGGTCTGCAAATTGAAAAGGAGCTTATATGGTCTTAAACAGGCACCTAGACAATGGTACCTGAAGTTTGATAACTTCATGGAGAGATCTGGGTTTAAAAGATGCGAGATGGATCATTGTTGCTATTTGAAGAAATTCAGCAACTCCTATATCATCTTATTGCTATATGTTGATGATATGTTGATTGCAGGATCTGATATGAAAGAAATAAACAAATTGAAAAAAGAAATGTCTCAAGAATTTGAGATGAAAGACTTGGGTCCAGCCAAACAGATACTGGGGATGAGCATCATCAAAAACAAGGATGGTTCTTTAACACTGTCCCAGGAGAAATACATTGGGAGGGTGTTAGAGAGATTCAAGATGAATGACGGGAAGACCAAGCCTAGAAGTACCCCATTGGGAAGTCATTTGAAGCTGACCAAAGAACAATCACCTAAATCCAAAGAAGAAAGATCAGAAATGGCTAAAGTTCCTTATGCATCAGCGGTTGGGAGCCTCATGTATGCCATGGTTTGCACTCGACCAGATATTGCTCATGCCGTTGGCGTTGCTAGTCGATTTATGTCAGATCCGAGTGGAGAACATTGGGAAGCTGTCAAATGGATACTTAGATATTTGAAGGGAACCCAGAAAATGGGTTTATGTTTCAGAGGGAAAGATGTTATTCTCAAAGGTTTTATAGATGCTGATTTGGGTGGTTGTAGAGAGACATTTAAGAGCACTACAGGGTATGTCTTTACAGTGGGAGGAACGGCAGTGAGCTGGATGTCTAGACTTCAGAAAAGTGTGGCGTTATCTACGACAGAGGCTGAGTATATGGCTGTTGCAAAGAACTAGTTTGGTTGAAGACTTTTCTTAAAGAGTTGGGCAAACAACAGTCTGATTACTTATTGTACTGTGACAATGAGAGTGCAGTGAAACTTGCTAAAAATCCTGTTTATTATGGCAAGACGAAGCACATCGGGATGAGGTATCACTTTGTGAGGGGATTGATCAGTAATAAAACAATCAAGTTGAAGAACATCTCAGGTGCTAAGAATCCAGCAGATATGTTCACCAAGACAGTGGTGTTGGATAAGCTGAAGCTTTGCATAGCTTGAGCTGGTCTCCTGGAATAGTGTTGAGGAGAGGGGCAACTAGGGAGATGTGAAGATCAAGGAGGATCTTTCATTTACAGAAGTACAGAGAGAAGCCGCAGTTTGGTCCAAAGACTCCAAGTGGGAGATTGTTGGTGATGTGTAGTCATCGGCCCAAAGTGGCCCACTTGTAGACAACTGAGAGTTAGGAGACCAGATTAGGGTTTCGGCCGGCCCAAATGGTTTTAAGCCCAGTTTGCTATAACTTGTCCAGCAAGGGTTAAACCCTAATTAGTTGTCTATATATATGATCTCCTGTACTTGTAATCATTATCACTCAATAATACAAACCCTAGTTGCCCCTGTGGATGTAGGTCAGATTAGACCGAACCACGTTAAATCTCGTGTTCTTTATCGCTTTCTTGCTTTATATTCGTGTGTGTGCTTTTGTTCTTAACA